ATTAGTGAGTTGGGGGACTTTAATGTAGAACCTTAATGTAGAAAGAAAAGACTCAGGATGATGTGCAGTTATCTCTGAATTCAGTTTTTCCACAAAATTTCTAATCTATGCGAGCTGACTTTGTTTCCTACATTTGTAGTAGGAAAACAGATGTATCTTTGTATAATTTTACATAAAGTATTTTTTTAATACTTGTGTTTTATTTACAGAGGTAAAGAACTCAGAAGAACAGTATAATAAAATAGTAATACCAAATGAGGAAAGTGTCATTATTTATTATAAGATTAGACAGCAGCTTGCCAAACTGGGTAAAGAAATTGAAGAATACATTCATAAACCAAAGTATTGCTTACCATTTCTACAGCCAGGTCGTTTGGTAAAGGTATGTCATTTTTGGGTGAAGATGCTAATAGTTGTTCTATAATAATTATATTGTTTTACACTGTTCATGTGGAATTGATTGGGGGTGGGATCATGTGTGAAGACCTTTTAATCTCCACTCATTTTCATTTTGGGAGATATAAATCGAAGGAGACACTTTTGGAATTGACATATAAAATATCTCCAGTTATGAAATCAAAAAATAGAAGCAGTTTTGGGCGCCTGGGTGGCTCAGTTGGTTGAGCGACTGCCTTCGGCTCAGATCATGATCCTGGAGTCCCTGGATCGAGTCCCACATCGGGCTCCCTGCTCGGCGAGGAGCCTGCTTCTCCCTCTAACCCTCCCCCCTCTCATGTACTCTCTCTCTCTCTCTCATTCTCGCTCTCTCAAATAAATAAATAAATCTTAAAAAAAAAAAACAATAGAAGCAGTTTTAAGCCCTGGATGAATTCATTAGCTATAAAATATTAAAGATTTCATATAGTCTCAGAACAGATACGTCATATCATTTTAGAAATTTGTTTGCCAACGGAGATATTCCTATTGTTGCTGTTTTAGAGGCCTATGATATTTGGTGGTGATTTTTTTTCTTTGGGGTTAATATCTTTTTCCTTAAGTTTAACCAATCTTTCAAAAAATATTTTACCAGGAAAACTCAAAGTTTTATTAGCCTATAATGTGGGCAAGGAAGTCTATAAAATTGCCTTTTGAACATAAATGTTTTTATTTACTTGCTTCCCTTTCTTTTTAGGTAAAGAATGAAGGAGATGATTTTGGCTGGGGAGTAGTGGTAAATTTCTCAAAGAAGTCAAATGTTAAGGTAAACCATTGCCCTTAAGGTAGAATCATATATAAATTTCTAGTAAAAAGTTTTTTCAGACTCATGAAATTGATCAAAGTAGAAATAGTGTTACAGTAAGAGAAGCTGTAATAAATTCTGCCATAAGGAATTACATTTTTGAATAATCTTAAATTTTGTCTTCAAAGTGCTGTTATTTTCCAAACAACAAATTTTAATTTCATGACAGTTTACATGTCTTCTTTGAATTCATCGGTACTTTTTATAATTTTACTCTTTAAATTGAATATTAGAATTAGTTTCTGATAGGGAAAACTAGAATTTTGATTTTAGGTGTATAATAGTTGAAGAAAAGGTATTAGAACTAGTTAGGTTTTACTTATTCTCTCTAAGGGAAAACAGTAATAAAGTTGGCTTTGATCATTATTTATATAAATATTTTGAAAAGATTATGTGTAAAATTAAGGAAGATTTTGTTACTGTGTTAGATGAGTGACTATCTTGAAATTAAGTTAGCCACCCTGTGACATTTTGTCTCCCAATATGTGACCTCAGGCAGCATTTTGTATCTCCATGTGTATTTTTCTTTATCTTTAAAAATGAATAGTTTGCAGAGCACCTGGGTGGCTTAGTACATTGGGCATCTAATTCTTGATTTCAGCTCAGGTCTTGATCTTGGTCGTGAGTTCAGGCCCCACACTGGGCTCCATGCTGGGTGTGGAGCATCCTTAAAAAAAAAAAAAAAAAAGAACAGTTTGCATAAGATATCTGCATTCTTTTTTTTTTTTAACATTTTTTTTTTTTAAGATTTTATTTATTTATTTGAGAGAGAGAGAATGAGACAGAGAGAGCACATGAGAGGGGGGAGGGTCAGAGGGAGAAGCAGACTCCCTGCCGAGCAGGGAGCCCGATGCGGGACTCGATCCCAGGACCCTGGGATCATGACCTGAGCCGAAGGCAGTCGCTTAACCAACTGAGCCACCCAGGCACCCAGATATCTGCATTCTCATAAGGTTGACCATGTCATGATTTTGTTGTCATTAACTTTGTTCCATCTGGGTATAGAGCAAGTAGGAGTTAAGCTTTGGGATTGGAAGTTACTCCTGAAATACGTAAATGAGTTTAGAGATAATGAAGCCATTTGTTGGGAGAAACAAGTTCATAGGTTTGGGGGCACCTGGGTGGTACATTCCGTTCAGCATCTGCCTTCAGCTCAGGTCATGATCTCAGGGTCCTGGATTCAAGCCCCGCATCAGGCTCCCTGCTCTGGGGATTCTGCTTCCCTCTCTCCCTCTGCCCCTCTCCTGCTTATGCTCTCTCTCTCAAATAAATAAAATTTCATAGGTTTGTGATGGCTGTTTTGGTGAATGATCTGTGATTAATCCCACTGAGGAACTTCTTAAGGATATTTAGTTTGTTACTACTATTTTGATACATTACCATCTTCATTAGTAATTATAAGATTTGTTTTTTAAGTATTGTCACACTTGTTATCTCATTTGATCCCAATTTAATAAGCGTTCATTGACCACAGACACAAAATCTCTGTGCTTACTCATTTGATGAATAGCAGAAAGCAGATAATGAAAATAAAAGGCAGAATAGTATAAATACTTTAGTAAAGATATAAGTAAAGTGCATTTGGAGCACAGAGGAGGAAGAAATTATGTCTGAGCTATTAGAGATGGCATCTAATTAGGAAGATAATTTAAAATTTTTAAAGGAACCTTGGAGAATGAGTAGCATTCATTTGATGGAAATTTACTGCTGGAGGAGCAGCGATATGCAGCAGGCCCAGAACATTTCAGGTAAAAAGTGAAATCTTTTAGAAATATTGAAGTTAATCACAGAAAATGGTTAAAATATGGATTTGAGTATATTCAGTCTAGGTATCTAAACATGTGAAAGCACTGGTAGGTGTTCGAAGATTAGTTGGTTGATTGGTTTGCTTGGGTTTAGTTTGGTTGTTTGCTTTTTTAATCTGTTTATTTTTGAGGAAGAGATTGATCTGATCAGAAGTTACTGTATTGACAGTGTTTGAAGGATATTGAAAGAGATAGCATAGTAGATACAAGTTTGTCAGTTAAGGAGACAACTCTTTTTGGGTGAGTCGGAAGGAAGATGGTAATAGAATAAGGGTTCAGATAGAGGATACTGAAGAACTAGAATGGACAGTCTTGTTGGGAAGTTGGGGGGAGCTTTAGTGATGATAAGATTTCAAACTTAGGTATGTGAAAAGTTGGCTGTATTGAGCCAACAGTATTAAACTGGATAAAGTTTGCCTCTCATTCTGTGTGTTCCCCCCACCACCTTATTTTAAATATACAGTGAAGTAAAGCTTGGAATTTTAACCTTGACGAAGATTGCATGGGTATTATTCCTTTGAGCCTGACAAGAACTCAGATATGACTTACAGGCTTTTATATTTTCTATTTCACCACCTTTAGCCATGGGAAAACTATAAAATGCTTGCCTACCTCTTCTCCCTTCCAAAGACACACACTATTTTCTTTGAAATAATTATTAGTAACATAGGTATGATCTTCCTTGAGAAGAACTTGAAAGGATAGTCTTCATTTAAACTTCTGACAGCTGTTAAGTTCTGTTTTTCGTGTACGATGAAAAGTGTGGCCATAAATGCTAAATGTTGTGGTTCCATTCATACTTATATAACCCATGGTGGAAAAGCCTTTGCCAGTTTACTCATTCCATAACTTGTCTGTATCTAAGAGAGTATTGCTAGGGCAGAATATTTTTACTTGTAGTGTACTGAATCGCTATATATTTCTTTCACTGCAGGTTTTACATTACTTATATGTTTGTTTTTTCAACAGTTTTACTGAGATATTATTTATATACTGTACTGTTTAGTCAGTGACTTTTAGTAAATTCACCATCACCACAATCGATTTTAGAACATTTTCATCCTCTCAGAAGGAAAAGGAAACTTTTGTCACTCCACCCTGTGCTCCTATACCCTCAATCCTGAACAGCTACTAATCTACTCTCTATAGATTGCCTATTCTGAAGATTTCATAAAATTGAATTGTGATATGGTGTTTTGCGACTGACTTCTTAGCATGTTTCCAGGCTTTAAGCATGTTGTGTATATTAGCTCTTTGTTCTTTTTTGTGATTGAATAGCATTCCATTGTACAGATACATGACATTTTGTTTATCCATTCATGAATTGATAGACATTTGGATTGTTTCTACCTCTGGGCTATTATGAATAATGCCCCTATAAACATCGATGTCTGAGTTTTTATGTGGACATAGTTTTCATTTCTCTTGGGAGTGAAATTGCTGGATCCTGTGGATACCATATAACCATTTAAAGAACTGCCAGGTTGTTTTCTAAAGTGGCTGCACCATTTCGCATTCCCATTAACAATGTATGATGGTTTTTATTTCTTCACATTCTCACCAACACTTAATATCTGACTTTTTGATTACACTCAGTATATAGTGGTATCTCATTGTGGTCTTGATTTGTATTTCCCTGATGACTAATATTGCCAAGGATCTTTTTATGTGCTTATTGGCCATTTGTATATTCTTTGGAGAGGTGTTTTCAGCTCTTTTGCCCACCCACATTCAAAATGAGTTGTCATTTTATTACTAAGTTATATGAGTTCTTTATGATATTTGATTTCCAGATATTTATCTCCCATTTTGTGGATTATTTTTACTTTCTTAATAGTGTCCTTTGAAGCACAAGTTTTTAATTTTGATGTAATTCAAATTAAATCTTTTTTTTTCCTTGTTACTCATGGTTTTGATGTCATATATAAAAATTAACTGCCAACATCAAGGTCATGAAGATTTACCTCTGTGTTTTCTTCTAAGACTTTTTTTTTTTTTTAATGCTACCATGCAATGAAACTTTCATTAACATTTTGAACAGCTATTGAGAAAACCAGTGATTCAGCTATTACTGAAACTGGTAATTTCTAAACTTAAATTGGGGCAAATGGCTATAGTGCAGAGCAATGCCATCATTGGGCACTATGAATTCAAGACTGAAGAATTAACAGCCACCTCTCAGGTGGAGAACCAGGTGGAGAGTTGACTCTTTCTGGATATTGTAATCAGAAAGAGTGCGGCCATCTTCCATCTGCTTGCTGGCAAAGATAAGCCTCTGCCGGTCAGGGGGGATGCCCTCTTTATATTGGATATTCGCCTTCACATTTTCAATGGTGTCACTGGGCTCCACCTCCAGGGTGATGGTCTTGCCGGTTAGGGTCCTCACGAAGATCTGCATGCCACCCCTCAGGTGCAGAACCAGGTGCAGGGTCGACTCTTTCTGGATGTTATAATCAGAAAGAGTGCGGCCATCTTCCAGCTGCTTGCCTGCAAAAATGAGCCTCTGCTGGTCAGGGGGGATGCCCTCTTTATCTTGGATCTTGGCCTTCACATTTTCGATGGTGTCACTGGGCTCCACCTCCAGGGGGATGGTCTTGCCGGTTAGGGTCTTCACGAAGATCTGCATTTTGACCTGTTAGCGAATGCAAGGACACTGGATGCAATCACGTCGACTCACCCAGATGCCAAGACACCGACACCTGACAATGCCAGCCGCTCTTCTAAGAGTTTTATAGTTTTACCTATTATATTTGGGTCCCTGATCCATTTTCAGTTAATTTTTGTATGTGGTATAAGGTAAGGGTCCAGCTTCATTCTTGTCCTAGCCCTGGTTACTGGAAAACTCTTTCCTCATTAAATGATCATGTCATCCTCGTCAAAACTCAGAAGATCGTAGACTTTATTTTAGACTTTCAGTTCCATTCCATTGACCTCTATGTCCGTCCCAGTGCCGGTACCATATGGTCTTCATTTACCATATCTTTGTAATTAAGTTTCAAAAAAAATAGATTTATGAGTTCTCCAACTTTGTTCTTCTTTTCAAGATTGTTTTGGCTATTCTGGGATCCTTACAGTTTCATATGAATTTGATTATCTGCTTGTCAGTTTTTACAAAGAAGTCAGTTGGGATTCTGAGAGGGCTTACACTGAATCTGTATATCAGCTTGAAGAATATTGCTGTCTTAACATAATTGAGTCTTTCAGTCATGAACACAGCGTGTTTTCCCTCATATTTACAGACTTTTTTTTTTTTTTTTAAAGATTTATTGAGAGAGAGCGCACGCAAGCTTGGGGTGGGAGGCAGAGCATACTCCCCGCTGAGCGAGGAGCTGGACATGGGGCTCCATTTCACAACCCTGAGATCATTCATGACCCTCGCTGAAATCAGGAGTCGGTTGCTTAACCGGCTGAGCCACCCAGGCGCCCCTTATTTAGATATTCTTATTTGGTAATTTATTGTTTTTCAAGTATAAATTTTATACTTTTTTTCTGTATACAAGACCATGTTGTATCTGCAAATAGAGATGATTTTCTCCCTTTTCAATGTGGATGCATTTTAGTTCTTTTTTTGCCTACTTGTTATGGCTAAAACCTCAAGTACAATATTAATAGAGCTGATGAGAGCAGATATCCTAGTCTTTTTCCAAATTTAGGGGGGAAACATCCAGTGTTTATCCATTATGAATGATGTTAGCTCTGGGTTTTTAAGTGTCCTTTACCAAGTTGAGGAAGTTTCTTTCTATTCATAATTTGTTGAGTATTTTTGTTATGAAAGATTGTTGTATTTTGTCAAATGCTTTTTATGTACCTATTCAGATAATCAGGTAGTTGTTTTTAATTCCATTTGGCATTTATTTTGATGTGGTATATTAGGTTAATTGATTTTTAAATGTTAAATCAACTTTGGATTCCTGGATAAATCCCACTTGGTCATGCTGCATTATTCATTTTATTTGTTGCTGGATTCATTTTGCTAGTATATTGCAGAAGACTTTTGCATCTACATTCACAGGAGATACCAGTCTATAGTCTTCTTGGGATGTTTTTGTCTGGGTTTGGTTAACAGGTTAGTGCTGGCCTCATAATGAATTTGGAAGTGTTCCCTTCTCTTCTGTTTTTTGACAAGTTTTTGAAGAAATGGTATTAATTTTTTTTTAATTGGAAGACTTTGGCAGTGAGAACACCTGGGCCTGGGCTTTTCTTTGAGTGTAGTTTATGATTATTAAGTCAGTTTTATAGGGTCTGTTCAGATTGTTTATTTCTTCTTGGGTCAATTTCAGTGATTTGCTTTCTTAGAAATTAATCCATTTCATCTTAGTTACCTAATTTACTTGTATATAATTGTTCATGATATTAATTTATAATCCTTTTTATTTCCAGAAGGTGGTTAGTAAATGTCCCCTCCTTCATTTCTCATTCTAATAATTTGAATCTTTCATCTAGCTAAATGTCAGTTTTGTTGATCTCAAAGAACCAGCTTTTGGTTTCATTGATTTTTCTATTTTTCAATTTCATTAATTTCTGCTCCATTTTTGTTAATCCTTATATCTGCTAGCTTCAGTTTTAGTTTTCTGTTCTTTTTTTATTGTCTTAAGGTAAGAGGTCAGGTTATTAATTTGAAATCTTTCTTGCAGTTTAATACAGGCATTTATGCCTGTAAATTCCCCTCCAGGGTAATAGTTTATCTGCATCCCATAAGTTTTGGTATATTTTTCTTCATTTTCATTTACTTCCAAGTATTTTCTGATTTCTCTTTTGATTTCTTCTTTGACCCACTGGCTATTTAAGAGTGCATTAATTTCTATATATTCATGAAATTCCCAAATTTCTGTTTTTGATTTCTGATGTCATTCCTTTCTTGTTTGAGAAATAATTGGCATTATTTCAGTCCTTTTGAATTTATTGAAATTTGTTTAATGGCCTGACATATGGTCTATCCTGCAGAATGTTTATATACAGTTGAGAAGAATGTATATTCTGTTTTGGGTGAGATATTCTATAGATGTCTGTTAGGTCTGGTTCGTTTATGGTGTTGTTCAAGTCTTCTGTTTCTTTTCTTGCAGATCTTTTGTCTATTCGTTCTATGCATTAAAGTAAGGTATTGAAGACTCAACTATTATTTTTGAATTTCTGTTTCTCCCTTCATTTCTGTCAATTAAAGTGTGTCTCCTATAGACCGCATAGTTGGATCTTTTTTAATTCAGTCTGAAAAATCTCTGCCTCTTTTTAGGGTTCCTTAATCAGTTGGTTAATCTATTCACATTTAGTGTTATTGATATCGTTGAATTTGTGGCTGTCATTGTGCTTTTTGTTTTCTATAGTTTCATTTCTTTTGTTTTTCTAGTCTTCCTTTACTGCTTTCTTTTGCATTAAGTGCTTATGTTCTAACATAACATTTCAGCTTTTTTTTTTCAGTTTATTTTAATGATTTCTTTCTCTACTTTTTATATTTTTTTCTCTACATCTCTATTTTTTGTTTTTTTCTTAGTGGTTTTTAGGGCCTTTCATATCCAGTATTCCCATGTTAACTTAATAGAATAAGTTTCAGATTTATACTGAATTCCAATGAGATGTAGAGACATTATTCCCATATACATTTGTTCCATTTTCCCTCCTTTTGTCATATAATCTATGTTACAAACCCAACAATACATGCTATAATTGTTACTTAATATGATTTTATGATTTATAAAGAAGCTTAGAGAAGAAAGAGCAAGTATTTATAGCTTTTGTGTATTAATCTCATTATTTATCATTTCTGGTTTATTTTATTGGATCCTATGGATTCAAGTTACCATCTGGAGTTTTTGCCTTAGCTCAGTACAACTTTGCTCCTACCCACCTCCTTTGTGCCATTATTGGAAAATATACTACATTCCTATATGTTGCAGACTTAACAATTCAATATATATGTATTATTTCATTTTTAAATCATTTAGTAGAAAAAGAAATAATTTTTATACTGTCTTTTATAGTTACATAATTACCTTTACCAGTGCTCTGTTTATTCATGTAGATTCAGATTAATGTCTAGTATCACTTGCTTTCAGCCTCAAGAATTTCTCGTATTTTTTATAAAGTGGGTTCTGCTAGCAACAGATTCTCTGTTTTTATATGGGAATATCTGTTTTTGAAAGATAACTTTGGTGTATTTATAGATTCTTGGTTAACAAGTGTTTTTCTGTGAATATGCCAATCCACTGCCTTCTGGTCTCCATTGTTTTTGCTGAGAAGTTTCTGCTGTTAATCTTATTGTGGTCCCCTGTAAGAGGGGAATCTTTTTTTTTTTCCTCTCGCTGATTTCAAGATTCTCTCCTTTGTTTTGGCTTTCTGCATTTTTATTATGATGTGTCTCTGCTCATCTCTTTATATTTATTTTACTCAGAGTCCATTGAATTTCCCGAGTATGTAGATTAATATTTTTCAGCCATTATTTCATCAGATATGTTTTCATCTCTTTTTGTCTTCTCCTGGTACTCACTTCTCCTGGTACCCATACTTATGGGTATATTATTGTACTTATTGGTATGCTGCATTTGTCTGAGGTTCTGTTCATTGTCTCCTTTTTTATTCCCCATTTTTGGGGTTATGTAATCTATCAGGCTGTGTACAGATGTGCTGCCGCTTTCTTCTGCTACTTCAGATCCCTTGAGCCCCTCTAGTGATTTCTTTCATTTCAGGCATACTTGTACTTATGAATTCAAGAATCTCCTTTTTGGTGGTTTTTATCACATCTATCTCTTTATTGCTATTCTCTATTTGATATGACATTGTTATTTTACCTTCCTTTACTTCTTTAATTATGATTCCCTTCGTTGTTTGAAAATATTTATCCTGGCTTCATTTAAGTCTTTGTTTAATCCAGTATCTGGTCACTCTCACAGGCATTTTCTTCTGTTACCTGCTTTTTTCTGGTACTTAGGTCTGGAATCATACTTTTCTGTTCATGTCTTACAATTTTTTCTTTGAAATTGGACATTTTAAATAATATATTGTAGTACTCTTGGAACTGGTCCCTCCTTCCCTCCCCTCACACAGGTACATTGTTATTTGCTTGTTTATTAGTTTAGTCATTAGCTCAATTGAGTGAAGTCTGTTCCATCCCCACTCATAACCTTCTCCCTTTTGAGTGACACTTTAGGACCTGTGGACTACATGAAGCATGGAGGCAGTATCCTCAAATCTTTTTTTTTTTTTTAAGATTTTATTTACTTAGCATGTATGGTGGGGGTGCTGAGAGAGAGGGAGACCAGCAGACCCCTGCTGAGTGGGGAGCCCCACGTCGGGCTTAATCCCAGGACCCTGAGATCATGACCTGAGCTGAAATCAAGAGTAGGATGCTTAACCAGCTGAGAGACCCAGGTGCCCTAAGCATCAGGTCTTTATAGCTCGCCTCTCCCAGCATGACAGCAATGCCTTAAAGGCAGGGTAAACAAGGGCAGTTGAGGCCCCAGTATTCTTAGCAGTACCACACCTAAGATAGAGTCTCTGGCCAACCATTGATGGCTGGGCAGAAGAAGGGTGTCCCCACCACTCAGCCTCACTTGCCCAGAACTTTTGCTCATTAGTGGGTGGGAGCAGGAGAAGAAATGATGCCATCCTATGCCTTCTGGAAAGATTGCCCTCCAACTAAGAGCTGCAGGGAGAGGGAGGCCTACTGTGTTTTTGCTTCACTAGTCTGCACTTTTTGTCTTGCTGAGCTAGGAGAAATGA